AACCGAGCTCCCATCCACGACCCAAGGGGCAAGTTCAAACCTAATTGGACTGGTCCTTACATCATCAAAACTATCTTGTCAGGTGGGGCTGTGGTTCTGATGGATCTAGATGGCTTGGAGTTTTCACAACCGATCAATATGGACAAGTTGAAGAAATACTATCCTTGAGAGGCTCGCTAGGCCGAAAACCCGAAAGAGCGACCTAGGCAAAAGTCAGAGCACAAAAAAATTAGAAAATATAAAAACTGAGCTCGCAAGGTTGAAAACCCGCAAAGGGCGGCCTTGGCAAAAGTTAGAGCGCAAAAGGAGAGTGAAAATACTCGAGTGAACCTTAGCCTGAACTACGTAAGGCTTGATTCCCATCTTTGGGATACGTAGGCAGCTTCACCTCGAAGTTCAGCCATAAACTTTTCCCCGATCAACTCTGTCCATTTCGATCATCTCAGTCATCTTTATCCATCAGCATTTATCGTGATCTCCGGTGCAAAGTTACTCAGACAAGGGGCAACTTTCCGTTGCTTTGTGGTGCCGCATTGTTCTTCAGACTAGGGGCAACTTTCCAGTTGCAGTGATCTGGGGTTGTGCATCTCAGTGGCAGATCTTCGGCGTGTCCAGTTCTGATCCACATCGAAAATAGTTTTGAAAAGTTATAATGAAAGTTGACTTTGTTCAAATCAATCTTTTTACGACTAAGACCATTTTTGGACCAAAAGCGGAAAATTTTCAGTACCACAACTTTCAATTTCATTGATTTCAAAACTGAGTTCTCCTGCTCTTGCATTACAATCGAGGTTGCTTTTTAGTACATTCATAAAGAAAAACTTGAAAATGCTAAATAAGCAATAAATTTGAGGCATAGTTGAATCAAGTATCTCTGCGTCCCCTCCCAGAGTTGGACGGAGCATCTGATGCCAAACTAGGCCCAACCTGTGCCTCCTCATTGAGCCAATCCAAGCACTCATCAGATAAAGTGCAACTGAAAGTGGGAGCAGGGGCCAAAAGCTCTCTAGTCCTCCATGCTGTGGCATATCGGGCAAGGTGTGCACCCCGGATCGGGAAAGCGGCTGGGTAGTCAATCCCCTCCGGTGGGCAGGTCTGATCATGGCCAAACTGACGCAGGAACCGGAATGGAAAATAGAATACGCAGTGGGTAAGGCCAATCAATTGGATCCCAATCAACCGGGACATACTATAGCTCATTGCCGGGAGGTTGAGCCAAGGACAACGCCAAGCAATGCGGTCTGCGGACAAATTGCACATCCATTCGAACCACCACCTTTCGTCAAGAGCATTGACTAGGCGCTGCCGAAAGAAGTAACCTCGAGCTGAATAGGCTGGGCAAGAGTCCACAACCTGCAACTTATCCATTAACCATACCTAGGGGAGGGATGGAAAATGAGAGATTAAAGAATAGAGAGATGTACGATGAGAGAAAAAGTAAGACAAGGGTTTTGTGAGAAAAAAACGAGCCTGAGGGCCGAGTGACGTGAGCAAATATATATGTAAGGATGGATGGGAAACATTACCTGCAGTAGCAGTGGACTCCCAGCGAACCTAGTCGTCTCCCGGCGATAGACAGAATCTAAGCCCATCAATGTCTCGGCCAAGGTCATGGCAATGCAGCTCTTCCCTTCTCTCAAGCCTTGGGCGACTTCAATCAGGCGAATGCTAGCCCCGCCGAAGCCCGAGGAAAGAGGAAAGCAGAAAGTGAGACAACAAACATAAGCAGAGGGCGTGTTGCCGAAACCCTGCCAATAATGGTTGCTGCGGTCACCGGCGTGGAAAAAACGATGGATCAAGCGAGGATGTCCAATTCCCCACTCAGATCAGAGATCGAGCGTCAGCTGTGAGCCCACACATCCGCCCTAAAGCCTGGGCGTGACCAAACGGAGACTGGGGCAAGATCACTTCAGAGCATCAGACTCCATCAAAACCTGAAAATCTTCGAAAGTGGGGACACATCTCTTGGCCGCCAAACCTAAAAACATGCGTCACTGGATTCCAGAACCTTGCCGCGGCATGGAGAAAGGGAGATGTAACGGAGTAGGCTCAGCGTGAATAGTGCATTCAAGCCGAAACCCCGGAAATTCAGCTTTTCCGAGCCATCTAGAGAAGAGATCCAAGATGTGACATTTTCTGCGAGAAACGCCTCCATCTTTGTCTAAAACTAAGATGAAATGAATGTTCCCGAAGTTGAGGCTTTTATACAAGGAAAAACACTATTCACGGGGACACGTGTCAAAAATCTGGTGGCTGCAGGACTGAATGGCCGGCCAGCCACTTTTTCTGGCCAGCCAGCCATTTGCTTTTTGCAGAAATGGCCGGCCAGCTGTCTCTCTCCACAAAAATGGCCGGCCGGCTCCCAGGGATGGTTGGCAATGCTGCAGTGTATCTCCTTGACCCTGTTTTACCCTTTTAGGGAGGATTCCAAGCATTTCCGTGCAACGGGAGAGTCAAAGGCCTCCGTTTCGGATGCGTTCCGATGCCCAGATCGTCAGAAGTACACCTTGTTGTTGCTTTATTTTGTTTATCGAGTTGTTGCATTTTGCTTATCGAGTTGTTTGTCGAGCGGACGTATTTTGTGTTTTTGAGTCATTGCTCTCTGTTTAAGCAAATTTTTGTTAAAGTCTTGTTTATTTGTGTTGTTGCATTTTGCTTATCGAGTTGTAAACTTTCTAAGGTCCTGTTATATCTTAGTAAGTTAAGTTGTTTAGTTTGTTGCGTCGGTTCACTACCTGACTTAGCGATTACAGCGCACATTCCCATTCAATTTCTTTTTTGTGCAAAATAAATGATGCGATACGATGCTAAAAGTTTAAAACACAAACACCTTTCCAAAAGCTATTTCATTTCATCATGCTTTACAACAAACAAAGGTACAAGTTTTACAAAAATAAAACTGCCTAACAATGTGCAAAGTGCTACAAACTACTAGCAAAAAGAAAAATAAAGCAGGAAATAACGGCATCAAAGTCCTCGGGAACGGGAACGAGAACGAGAAGCTCTCCTCATCCTCTTCTGCGGGATAATCTCCACACCATCATCATCATCTGAGTCAGAGCTGTCATCCCCAGGATTCCCCTCAGCCTCACCTCTATTCCCCGTGCCAAAACCGGAGCCTCCCTCCTCAGCAGATGTCTCTGACTGACGATCGGTAGCCTCCTCCTCCTCCTCATCAGGCTCCACCTCCACAACGTGAGCCCTGCGTCTGCGGACAGGCCCCCTCGAGCCCCTCGAAAAGGCCTAGATGACCCGGCTCCTCGGGAAGGCCGAGATGATCCCGCCCCCTGAAAAGGCTCAGATGGCCCAGCTCCCCAAAGAGGCCCAGGTGGCCTGGTCTGCGGCTGACCGGACCATGAAGGCATCTGAAAACAAAGAGTTCAATTCAAATACATCAGTCCAAATATATACATCAGATACAGATACAAGCAAAGGCTACATGAAGTGGGTGCATGTAAATACAGTGTACAAGTGGGGTGTGTGTCAGATGTGCTCTACACAAGTAATCTATCGATGCAGTAGAAATCAACATGTCATCAGAAGCATGATAAATGCCAGAAAACTGAAGGGTACCTGAATGTCCGCAACAGACAACTGTGCCTCCCTGCGCAGGACCATGCCCTCGAGTGTGGCCACCAGTCCAACCACCTCCTCTATGTACCCTCGCGATGGCTGCAAAAATGAGCTCATAATCATCAGTAAACAGAGGAGTGTCTAAACGTCTGAATGATGAATGAAAAGTGGAGCATACCGGCGGTGAGTCCAGATCAATGGCGTATCGATCACTGGGCATCGGAGGCTCTAGCGGGATCGGGGTCGGAGAGATAGCCCCATACTGCCAGGCCATCAACTCAGTAGGCATATCTGGCCATTCGACATGAGGATGAATCGACGGAGCCGGAGGAACCGGTCTACTCCCGCCTCTAGATGTACCGGCCCTGCTAGAAGAAGGGACGTCTGCAGCCCGAGCCTGAGCCTGGCCCGAGGATGACATACCGGCAGGCCTCATCATCGGGATACGAGCTTCTGTCAATGGAGGCATCAAATATATGTGACGGTAAGTGGCGTAGTCCCCCTCCTCAGTATATAGTAAAGCTTCACTACCCAGCATGGCGCCGACTACCTCCGAGTAAGAGAGCCTGTCAGCGGTCCGCATACCGGCTGGGGGTGCTGCGGGAATATCCTGAGAAAGATACCCCCATACCTGGCGCAGAAAGTGCTCCCCCAGGAACCATACCCTGCCAACCGGCCCTTCGAACAGGACCCTATACTGGGAGATGTCCGATGCCCCGGTATACTGAAGTCGGAGGCCGTCACCCAGAGGCGCCCAAGGCTGCCAAGTAATCTGCGGATGATAAATGCATAAACCGATCAGAAGTCGAGAATATACAGAGCAAATCAAAGATGAGAATGAAAGGAACAGAAAGTTCTGAAGTACCTCTGAATGCCGCACAGTGTCGAAGTACTGTCGCAGGCGAATGAGGGTCTCTCGAGGTCTCGGCCGGTGCGGGCCCTCGAATATCAATGAATATGGGGTCACGGGAATCCCTACCACCTCCAGCTCTGGGGCTAATGATGGGAAGTATACATACACCCATAGCTGAGAAAAGCAGTGCAGAATGTAAGTATGAAATGCTGAGAGCAAAATACAGATTGTAAAAGCGCGCTGTGTGTGTGCAATGTACAAATAATGAAAAGCAGAAATGTAAATCAAGGGGACAGAAAGTACCTCCCAGGCTCTCCAGTAGCCGCCAAGCAAATCGCCCCGCCCGCGGGAGGTCGCGCTCATGTAAAAGTAAAGGGTAGCCAGGCCAGCGCCACCCCAATCATATCGGTGGACCTGTGATAGGTCAACTAGAGCGCTCAGAAGGTATAGCCCGACTGTGTTCCCTCTGTCGGCGAACAGGGTAGTCCCGAAGAGGAACATAAGGAAGCCACGGGCATACTGCTCTGTCTCCTCGGGACTCTCAGGCACCATCTCCGCCCGCCGGAAATGGGAGGAGAACCAAGTGTATCGGACTCTCCCAGAGACCCTGTCAACGGGCGGATGAGCCCCCAATAAATACATCCAGGCGGCCTCCCACTCGCCCATATCCTCATCATAGGGGATGGCCCAACCTCCGACATCAAGGCCGGTCAATACAGCAAAGTCGAAATGGGTCATAGTCATGTCCCCAGTAGCAGAGAAATGAAAGGAATTGGTGGTGTCCCACCATCTCTCTACCAAGGCTGCCATCAATGTCCTCCTGGCAGGACAGCGTGACAACCCGACGCAGAAGGGCCCGAATCCTGCCAAATCTACCAAATCCCGGACACCCTCCGGCAGCTCGGCATACCAGTCCCGTGCCATGGTCGAACCATATCCCCGCACACTGCGGGAACTAGCCTGCATTCAGAATGGATACATGTGTCAATAATGAAATTAAATGGGCTGTGTGCCAATGAGATGAAATGGGCTGTGTGCCAATGAAGTGAAATAAGCTATATGTTGTATCTATGTGGGCTGCGTGTTCACTATCTACCTGGGCTGCGTGTTCAGAAAATTTGAAATTTGGGCTGCGTGTTCAACTTTCAGTTAATTTGTGGGCTGCGTGTTCACTATCTACCTGGGCTGCATGTTCAGAGAATTTGAGATTTGAGCTGCGTGTTCAACTTTCAGTTAACTTGTGGGTTGCGTGTTCACTATCTACCTGGGCTGCGTGTTCAGAAAATTCGAAGTTTGGACTGCGTGTTCAAATTTCAACAATTGTGGGCTGCGTGTTCACTATCTAAATCTGGGCTGCGTGTTCAGAAAATGTAAAGTGTGGGCTGTGTGTTCACTTTCGAATTCGGGCTGTGTGTTTGACAAATCAGTGCTTGAACCGTGCGTTCTAATGTGGACTGTGTGTTCGCAATTAATTAATGAGCCGAGTGTTCAGAAATTCGAGTGTCGAAGCTACACGTTCAAGATGTAATCAAAGTACTATGTCATAAACTAAACTGCATGTTCAAGCATGGCAAAGGTGCGAAATGTAAAATACAGAAGATGAGATAAATACCTCTCGGGCATCGTGAGAGAGATGCTGCCCCGGCTCTCTGAGAAGCAGATCCATGGGTGCTCTCTCGTCAAAACTGGTAAAATGACGGAAAACAGCGCGCGGGAGGACGTGCACTGCCGGACGGTACCTCTCGGGAATAAAAGGGCGAGTCCTCGGAGGTAGAGTCGTAGGATCGAAATCATCCCCGGCACCTGAAAAACCTCCACCGTGGGGAGAATTGCCCGCCATTTTCAAGAATCTGCAAAAGGGGAGCAAAAGTGAGCAAAATGAGCAAAAATTGAAAAAAGTCAACAAAAGTCAACTCCTGAGAAAATATTCCAAATATTAAGATGAACTTACCTCAGGTGGTGAAAATGCAAGAAGAAGCTCCGAAGCCGAAATTTAATCGCTCCAAAGTGCTTAAAACTGAGTATTTTTACGGAAACAATTTGCGCGAGGTGTTGGAAAACGCGCGTGAAACTCAAAACTGGAGAGAAAAGTGTTGAAAGAGGCAAGAAATGAAGTGAGGTTCGGCTGCCATTTATAGGCCTCAAGCCTTGGGTAAAAAGGCATGCAAAAGGAGGGGAAAAGACCAAAATGCCCCTGGGAAAAGGGCATGGCCGGCCGGCCTCTAATTCTAGCTGGCCAGCCATCTGCTTTTTGCAGAAATGGCCGGCCAGCCATCTACTTTAATGGAAACCGGTTGGACACCCCCCCGAAAATTTGAATTTGGCCGGCCATCATCCCCACATGCTCACCTAGCTCTCTGCAAATTTTGAGGAAGATCGGAGTTCCCGGGACCTGAAAAAGTTCAAGACAAGTCACAGCTTCCGTCGCGAAACGTGTCGCGGCTGACTTCGTTCAAGTCGTGACGTCATGTCCCTCAATCATCACTCATCGAAATCAAAGCTGTACCTTGATGAGTTGTAAACCTGTCAGGAAGTGGATTCGGAGTGCCGTGATGAGGTCTACCCTCTGCCGAAACATGCGTTCCGTACTCCGTTTGTTTGCGGCAAAATGAACACCACTGATTTATGCTCGTTTGGAACTATCATGCCAACATCCCCACTTCTGCATTCTCATGAGCAAACTAACCTATGTCATCGTATATTTCCTTGTATATTGCATAACCTCTGTGTTTCGAGCATCGCGGTTCCGTCGACACAGATTCCATTTTTCACTTGCGATGCGTTCCCACCGGCATGCCGTATGTCTGCAACCTTTCGGAATCACATCAATAAACGTTTAGCAATTGTATTTGTGCAACCCCTCTTTGCAGGCACGGATATGTTATGTGACGGATTCAATCTGAAGGACTGGTGTCGGACCGCACGATCACTCGCCACGTAATCGTATCTCTCCGTGTGAGACCGTGGGCGCGGGTGAACTAATCTCCCCGCATATCTTAACTGCATGAAAGGTAGTTGTTGGCTTTGCAATTCTTGCTTAAAAAACTGATATGCCACCCGATTTGCGAAATCACTTTGCTTCGATTACACTACCTCGCCCTCGCACCCTTTGCCCGCCATTGCTACCTTCTGGCTGCTCATGCATATCATTTGCATTTCCCTGCCTGCGGGCAGCTGCGGGGCGCGATCTTCTGATTTATCCGTTGAGTTTGTCTTAAGTCTCTCGGCCTTGTCAAAATAAGGGTCCGTCTCTGGGCGTTTGACATTCACTCCGTCACTTGATAATACCGAGCTCTCCGTCAAAGAGGAGGCAACTGTAGACACCATTTTTGTAGCCGACCCTTCAGACTCAGACGTCACCGAGTGAGCGCCCTTGGTGAATGTGCATAGGCTTGTTGCCAGAAGTGTTCAGAGTCGCGGCCTGTCGAGCCCTGTCTCCGGACTCCGAATCCTTTCTTGCCTTTGGTCTCTGGTCTGCGAACGCAGACCGACTTTTCTCTGTTTCTTATTCCTAAAGGGGAAGGGAAGTAGTCCCGTAGACCATCTCTCAATGTCCGTAGGCTTCACTCTCGCCGTGCCCGTGAGGCCATTTTTCCCATTTCGTTCGAGTCCGCGTCCCCCGTTTCGGACCTGGCCGTCCTGTGCCTCGCCTGTCTGGGACCGGCCCCTAACCGGCTCACATTTTGCTCCGGTTTTTTTGGCATAACCCCTATTTTCTCCCTTTGAGGGACAGCTGGGGGCTGAGAACCCACTTCGAGGTCGACATGACCATCTCATGACTAATACCCGCCATGTTTCGGGCCCCGAACGCGTGTTTTGGCCCCGGAACATTGTTTTGCAATGGTTTTGTTCATTTGGCCAGGTACCGTCTGTTTATACTCGAAGCGTCCGGTAGGGTAGGAGCCACAATGTGTTGCAGCAGACCAGTTATCTCCCTCGTGATCTCCGTGCGCCCGTTTTTGCCAACCTTCCGGGTCTAATGTGAATACGCTTGTGAGTAGTGGTTTGCCAACCTTCAACCACATTATCTGTGATTTCTACACATCGGGGAGTGCCCCTAAAAGTTGGTGGCCGTCCATTAAGGTTACCTACTTTTTTGACCTCTCTTCCGGGCAATGTGACGCCCTTGGGCCCACATTCTGAACTGGAACACATATCTGTTGATCGACGAACACCTGGAGCCCCTAAAAGTTCATCGCCGGCCAGTATTATTTCAACTTGACCCTTTTGACCCTCCTATTTCCGAGCCAATGTGGAACCCCTTGGAGCCACTTCTCAGACTTAACCACATGGTTGTGTGTACATCAACATGTGGTACCCTCTCCAATAGGTGGCACGCCAGAAAATCACATTTGACCCTTTTGACCCTAGCCGCCGCTAGGTGTGTGGCCGGGCCGGCCACCCAGCAAAATAATGGGCCCGCCGTGTTCCGTTGCACTGTGCACTTTACAGCTGTGGGCAAAATCCCCCAGATATTTTCGTTATCCGGGGATATGTTGTGGGGGATTTTTGCCCCTATTCCCCCACTGTTTACACCCCCTTTTGGACCCTTATAACCAGCTGGTGCCTCCTTTGTAAGGCTTAGAAAAACTCTCCTCAAGCTTCCCATTGCAACTCCATCTTCTTCCTTCCTCAATTCTTGAAAAACCCTTACTCCCAACCTTCATTCCTTCTACACCACCAAGCTCTACCACCACCATCTCATTTCCAGCAACAAGGAAGGATTCTTGAAGGCTAAAGAAGCTGCAAATCCATCCAAGAAGAAACAAAAGAATTGATCTACAAGGGTAAGTAATACTTTTACCCTTTTGACCCTTTTTCTTGATCTATTTCTAAGCCTCACTTCCTTTTGGTTTCAAGCTCCGGCCTTAACTGAAAAGGGCCATCTTTTGAGCTCATCTTCACTTTCCATTAAGGGCTCAACCCTGTTTGAGCCCTCCATGATACACTTGCTTCATTGATCATCTTGTATGTCATAGTTTTGCATGCTATTTTTGACCCATGAGCAATTTATTTTCGAGCATGTTGTAAACTGATATTGGGCTTATTTTGAGTCCCTCTTCAACATTGAAGAAGGGCTCAACACCATTTGGGGTTTCCATGTTATACCTCCCTTTATACTCCTCTTTTCTTCCCCATTCTTGCATGCAATGGCAGCCTACCATGCTTATGTTTTTGGCCATTTTACAGTTCTAAAAAAGTTCTTATTTTGGTCCATACTTCATATTTCATTTAGGTCCTTTCATGGTTTGGGGTCTCCATAGGTCACTTCATGTTTTATCTCTCTTTTATTCCCCATTCTTGCATGTTTTGTTAGCCTATCATGCTTATGTTTTTGGCCATTTTACAGTTCTGAAAAAGTGCTTATTTTGGCCCATTCTACATGTTTTATCAAGGGTCTTTGGCTGTTTGGTGATTATTTTGCATACCTCATGTTATAGCCACTTTTGAGCCTTATTTTGCATCACATTTCTACCATGTTTGTATACTGTTTTGGCCATTTTACAGTTCTGAAAATATTCATATTTTTTGTCCCTCTTTAATGTTGTAGAAGGAAGTTTTTCAGTTTGGATTTTGTGTATATCACTTGCTTCATTACCCCTTGAAAATACCGTATTCTTGCATGCCTTTTTTTCCATATCTATACTTACTGTTTGGCCATTCTATAAACTGGAAAAGTGCTTATTTTGGGACTTTCTAGCTTCTGTCTTTGCATTGCATGTCCATATTGTGCATGTTTGGCATAGCTATAGGCCATTTCGGGTGCCTAAATTCGCATTTCGGGTCATTTCCTTGCATTTCATGTCATTTCGCTTCATTTCGGGACTGTTTTACCCCATATTTTGTTGCTGAAATTCCATTAGCATGCTTGCATATCATTTTGCCATGTTGCATCATATTTTTATCATTGCCTCGGTTTGCGTGCCCGTGTGCACGCATTTCGAGGCACCTCATTTTTCACCTACCGGCATCCGATGTGAGTGTGGCTGAGGCTCATTCATGTTGGTATAAGCCCATTTGTCATTTTCATATCATTTCATCATATTTTGTCACCACCTCGATTTGCGTGCCCGTGTGCACGCATTTCGAGGCACCTTTTTTTTTTATCCGCCGGCATCCGATGTGAGTGTGGCTGAGGCTCACTCATGTTGGTAGAAGCCCATTTATCATTTCATATCATTTCATCATTGCCTCGGTTTGCGTGCCCGTGTGCACGCACTTCGAGGCACCTCGTTCACATTGTTTCTGCCACCGCCTCGGTTTGCGTGCCCGTGTGCACGTACTTCGAGGCACCTCATTCGCATTGTTTCTGCCACCGCCTCGATTTGCGTGACCGTGTGCACGCACTTTGAGGCACCTCATTCGCATTGTTTCTATCACCGCCTCGGTTTGCGTGACCATGTGCACGCACTTCGAGGCACCTCATCCGCATTGTTTCTGCCATTGCCTCGGTTTACGTGCCCGTGTGCACGCACTTCGAGGTACCTCATCTTCATTGCACATATCATAGCCTCGGTTTGCGTGCCCGTGTGCACGTATTTCGAGGTACCACATTTTCAGCATCGCATATGTCATTTTCTCGGTTTGCATGCCCGTGTGCACACATTTCGAGGCATCTCATTTTTTTTTACAGCACAGTGCATGCTAGGCTGTATCTTAGTTGTATTTCATGCATATCATGCATATTGCATCGTGTCCGGAATAGGAGTTAGCCCGGGCACGGGAAACGAGGTACATTTCGTACTCCGAGTGACGGAATGTGTCTCAATTCCCCAGTCACCGACACTCCGGATTATCCATGACGGAGTTAGGTTTTAGCTGTAGTTTCATGTGCATTCA